AGAGGTGTCTGTGAGGGAGTCTTCATATGCTCATTTATGCAGGGTTGGAAAGTTCAAGAATGTATCTGTGGGTGGTTGGCGGGTGCTCTGGTGTGGTTTGCTTCTTCTTTCCTATCAAACGTCTATCGTCTTTATCTCCCCTCCTTTTTTATGTTTTTTACTCTCTTGTAATTCCTCTAATCATCGGCACTTATATTACCTTATTGTGTTGAAAGTGCTGTAAAACACTTACTAAAACAAAACAAGAATGTATTTTTTGGTACCCAGTTGGCTCCTTAAAAAAAAACCTGTTCATTGGTGTGTATACATGTATGAGCAGAGCAGCTGATTGGGAGGATCATTTGGGAGTCTCTCAGTAGATTTCTTTATCTGCGTAAATGTGGCACATGTAGGAGTCTGCTTAACTTAGTTGTATTCATCATCATCCAGTGCCAGATCTGCGACAGACATCGCCGATCATGATTTTCCATTCATTCCTTTGCTCGGATGCTCTTAGAAAAGCTACGTTTCTCTGATCTTTCCCTGTTACTCATTTGTTTAGGTTCCCTAAGTATGTTGTTCTGGGCCTACCCCTGCCTCGCATGCCCTCAATTTTGCCAGTGAGAGCTAGATGTTCAAGACCCTTAAGTCTATTCAGGTGTCCCAAAAACTGCATTTGTCGTTTCCTGATTGTTTTTAAAATTGAGCGTCCCACGTGGGCTTCATCAAGAACTACCTCATTTGATTTCTTTTCCTTCCACGATACTCTTAGCAGTCTCCTAAGAAACCACATTTCTCCACTTAGTTGTATGTGTGTTTAATTATTGGCTTAGATTAAGAGCGGGCACGAGCCGAGAAGAGTACCCGTTTCTCTCGAGAAATGCCCTTCCCGTCACTTCCCGGGCACTAAACTACTGCCTGGTACCAAGAAGTGATACCGCTCGATGGCTTGACATAACGAGTAACGAGAGTGAGAGAGTGAGGTGAGAGAGTGAGAGAGTGAGAGGTGTCGACGGAAAGAGCGGCACAGCCAGCGAGAAATGACACGCAGACAGTGTCGCCCATCACCGTGCCGTCCTGTGTCTGAAACTGAAAGGGAGGGGAGAGGGTGGCGGGGACGAGGTGAGTTGGGAGTTGATCAGGGCCTAGGCGTAGGTCTCCCTACCTTCCTTCACCGCCCGCGCCTGCACAACAGGGCTAGCCTAGTTTAGATCCCGGCCACTTCCGGCCTTCTGGCTAAGCGAGCTGCCCGTCTTAGGGCGCGAGAAGAGAAATTGGTCACGAGACAAGAAGCTTTTCTCGGGACCGGTACCGGTCCCCCGTTCCCGGCGAGAAGTAGGTCAGCTTCTCGGTCTTCTCGCTCGGGAAAAAAAAAGCGCTTCGCGTCCGTCTCTAGCTTAGATGGATGCAACGTCCCAAAGGAAAGACAGAGGTACACAATAATTGTGTGAAGCATGCTGACAAAATGAGCTACATCTCAGATTCTAGACCTATGAAAATAGATACGTTACACTTATAGGTGAAGTTTTTACAATTTATGAGTATGAAATAATAAAAGGCTTGTTATACTTAAAGTTTAGAAATATTGCATCTAAAGAATATCTAGAAATGTGACCCTAGTGTCAATTTTTGGCCAATATCTCCCTTTGTGGGTTCCGAGAAGTGACTCATTTTTGTCAGCCCGCCTCACGTATTCTTTTTACAACTCCATCTCACCCCCAGGGCAGTGCTACTGACTAAAGTTGTCTTTAGGTCTTTTCCAAAGGGGGGAAATTAACATGTTCTTGTGTACAGTAGAATTGTAAATGGGCTGATTTATCAATGTCATGCTCATAGTGTGTCGGAACATCAAAGAGGAACTGCTGCTTTTTCTTTTCTCTTCCTTACTATCGTCATTTTTCCTCTATTTCTTTTTTATGTTTGTCACTCTCTTGTGACCCGCTATTTCCGGGGTGCCTTGATAGGCTAGAGAGGAGTGCAGAGTAAGCGTGATCATCCGTTTGGACTTCTCTGTTGACATCCACCCCTTGGCGCTCATATGACTTTATGCTGTTGCGATCAGCGTAAAACCTTGCTAATAAAAAAACAAAAAACTCCATCTGCAGGTGGCTTCTGCTGGGCTTCAAGCGAGAGTTCAGCTTCGAGGATTCCCTGCGGTGCTTCGAGATCCTGTCTAGTCACCATTTGGAGCTCTCTAGTCTGGAGGCGGAAAAAGCAGTACTGCGGGAGGAGAGGAAAGAGTTTGCCAGTACAGGTGAGCCTCTTTGTACCATTGTTCGCACGCTTGTTAGTATTATTGTTATGATCATTATTGTTATTATTATTATTATTATTATTATTATTATTATTATTATTATTATTATTATTATATTATTATTATTATTATTATTGTTATTTTTAGTAGTAGTAATAGTATTATAACTATTATTATTATCTTTATTATTATTGGTATTAATTATTATTATTGTTATTATTATCGAGATCCTTTTTTTTTTTGTGTATCTGTTATAGTTGATAGAAGCTCTTTTGTTGTCTGCACCTGCTATTTCTTTCTTTCAGTTCAAGTGTTGTTAGTACAATGACTGGGCTTTATTTTTACTCAGACTAAAGAAACAAATCACCTAACTGACCAGTGGAGGGTTGCTATCCCCATGGTTTTATGCACCCCGCATAATTTAGCAAAATTTGATCATTTTTTTGCATTATTTCTGATTATTTTCCTTTATCCTTCTTTGTTGAAATTAACAGAATCGCATAATTTCACATTTTTTAGCTCAGTTTGCATAATTTCAGAACTTTTCTTGCATAAAACGACGGGGACAGGGGTTGGAGGATGCTCCTGCTGTTCCTACTTCTTTTCTTCACCGCTGTTGTTATTACTGTTTTTATGATTATTGTGATACTTTTTTTGATTATCTTTTATAGATGGTGGGTGGTTGGCGGGTGCTCTGGTGTGGTTTGCTTCTTCTTTCCTATCAAACATCTATCATCATCCTCATTTCCCCTCCTTCTTTTTTATGTTTGTTACTCTCTTGTAACACCTCTAATCTTCTGGCGCTCATATGACCTTATGCAGTTGCGAGTGTCGTAAAACCTCTACTATAACAAACAAAACAAAATGTTGTGTTGTGTGTTCCCAGGAGGCGATACGCGTACCTCGGGTCTGGCGACGCAGAAGGAGTACACGTTTGAAGTGTTCATGTGTGCCACGGTGCTGACCGAGTGCCGCGACGACTTCTTCGCCTGCACCGACTGTGGACAAGTCTTCTGTTTCCTCAACAAGTACTTACGCCTTTCTCCGTGCCTCATTAATAATAAATAATAAATAGCATTTGTATAGCGCATATCCCCGCTCAACAGCAGGCTCTATGCGCTTTACACTATATTATTACCCCAGCAGACCATAGAACACTCCGAAACATTCTCAGCTTCCCGGGAAGCATACAGTGGAAGCAGCCGATTAAGCGCTCAAACACAAACAAACTGACAAGATCTTTCGCTGTCTATAGCCGGGTACCCATTCCCACCTGGGTGAAGTGAGGAAAATTAGTGTAAAGTGCCTTTCCCAAGGACACAATGTCGAGCCCTTGATGGGATTCGAACCCACGACCTTACGGTTGCGAGTCCGAGAGCCTAACCACTAGGCCATTCATGTCTATAAGGTCGTGCTGGAACAGTGTAGACTAAGGGGGCTCTCGTGGCCTAGAGGTTAAGGTGTTGGCCTCTCTTTCAAAGGTCCCGGGTTCGAATCCGGGTAGTGACCGAAAAATTTTCTTCTCTAAATTTGTGTCCTTTTACCTTCTTTCCTGCTCTCTGGCAATATTCTGTCGTCTGCTTTCGTCTCCTCTTTCTGTCCCCACTCCCTCATCTCCTTTGCCCCCCTCCTCTGGGCTCCTGATTCTTTCTACAGCCTTTCTACTGCTACTCCTTGGCTTCTTCTTACTGCTGTCTTTCAGCCACACCCCTGATCTTCTGGTAGGAAAGATCTACACATAGCCTTCTCGGACAAGGGCGAAAAATCTCGGAGGGCCCGTGTGCAAGTTGCGCACGTTAAAGATCCCTTGGTGGTCTGAAATCGATAAGAGTAGGCTTCGGCCGCCACCCGGGCAAAACTCAAAATTTCCTACCAACTGAAAAAGTTTAATGCGAGCGCCGTAAAACACTTACAAAAACAAAACAGTACAGACTAATTGTTTTTTCTCGGCATTGTCACAAGAAGCAGAAAAGAAGATCGGTCGTAGTTATTGTTCAACTGATAAGATATTGTTTTGTTGCATTTACTGGTAGGTCCTACTTAGAGGGTGGTTTGGTGGGTGCTCTGGTGTGGTTTACTCCTTCTTTCCTATCGAGCATCTATCGTTCTTATCTCCCCTTCTTCTTTTTTATGTTTGTTACTCTCTTGTAGCACCTCTAATCTTCTGGCGCTCATATGACCTTATGCAGTTGCGAGCGCCGTAAAACCTCTACTAAAATTAAAACAAAAAAAGCATTTATTGTTTTGTTGCATGCTAAATCTTGTCTCAAAAAATTTTGCCGTTATTTTTACAAAAACCCTGTGACATCTTGTTGAACAAAACGCGCCTTTTGAACCAAATTAATCGTAATAATGATAATGTTAATAATAGCTTTCCGTCAGTTCTGACGATGGCCGGTACATCCTCGGAGGAACAAAGATAAACCCCCCCGGGCAGTGCCACTCATTGTAGTGTCTTTAGGCCATTCCTGAAGGGGGGACATTTCTCGTCCAAGCACAGTAGAATTGTAAATAGGCTGATTCATGTCACGCTCATAACTGTGCCTGGTCTACAACAGGGAACTGCTGCTTTTTCTTTCCTAATCCTTACTATTGTCATTTTCCTCTACTTCTTTTGTATGTTTGTCACTCTCTTGTGACCTGCTATTTCCGGGGTGCCTTGATAGTTGAAGCAGACCTTGTGCTGTTGAAGCTAGAGAGGTGAGCAGAGTAAGTCCGATTCCCTGTAAAGACTTCTCTGTTGACATCCTCCCCTTGGCCTCATTTGACCTTATGCAGTTGCGAGCGCCGTAAAACCATCTACTAAAAAATTATTTTTTTAAAGAAAAAAAAAGATCGACAATTCTTTCCTCTTCCTCATCCTCAGCCTCACGTTCGATCTGGACTCCCTGCTGACCAAGTCGGAGCGCCTGTTCTTCGTCTATTGCAAGAAGACGGTCGGCGAAAGCTTCCAGCTTGTGGATTCCAACAACTCCAACGCCAACAACAAACAGGGGTTCTTGTCGTACTTTTTCCGATAAAATTGTGCCTCAACAAAGCTCGTTGGGGTGTCGTATCGCCACGTGAATGATGGTTGATGATCAAAGTTCTCCTGTGGACTGCGCTTTCTACTTATTTCCAGAGTTACTTTAGTCCTCTTGGGGTGCTGGTGTTGCTGTTGCTGGTGCTGCTGCTGCTGCTGCTGCGTGACAAAATAAACACATAATGCGATGTAGGGATTAGGTTCTTCATTGTCGAACGTAATTCTAGAATTGAGTTCTGTTTCCAAGTGGGTAATTTTTTTGTCGTCTATCTGCTGGGATGTTATATCCCACTTAGCCAGCCCCCTGAATAATTGGAATTGTGCATTATAATTTTGTTTAAAAACGAATTGTATAGAGTTTTATATTAAAATGAACTGCATAGATGGGAGTATTTACAATTGCAAAAATTTCTTACAAGGCAAATTGTATAAATTTGTTTTGTGACCGATTTTTTTACATTAAAAGGTATGATGTTTGGCCTTATTGAATATATATAAGTATTTTAAAATATTGAGATTGCGGTTTTAAAATGTTTTATGATGAAAGAGATTACGTCCGGAAAGAATATGTACAAATTTCTTAGTGGCTGTGAATTTTTTATGTGTGTAGGTGAACGATAGTTTCTGAAGTAGTACTCTCTGTTATACAGAGTAGATTATATTTGTTTGAAAACTCATAAAGTTTTAAGCCTAAATGGTCGCTTTGAAGGACAAGCGGGCTAACCCAAATTTCGAGGGTTTCCAGAAATCTTGACCTACACCAAAAGTGGGCATTGCCCTACCTATAGGAGAAGTTTGGTTTCATTGGTGTGTGTATTTGTTTGGTTGTAGAGAAAACTGTCTTTGTCTTTTAAGATAAGATTTCATGGGTCCAAAAACTTTACCTTCGATTTACTCAAAACTGCATTTTTCAGGATTGTCCCCTTGTGCTTAAAAGCGACCTAATAACAATGATTAGTAACAGTCCAACCAGAGGGCAACTCTCAGAACTATTTTTTGTCTTGCATTTCTTTTCTTTCATGAATTTCTTCCGAAGAGTTTTCTCAGCAAAGTTTGAGAGTTTGGTCAATCTACTGTGGTAGACTTTTGCCCTAACTACTGACTCTTTCTCTCCCAGGAGGGTAAACCCCCTAGGCGGCGCCCGTTTTTGGTACTAAATCTAAAAATTGTACAAACTTCACTAAACGGGTCATTAAATCAAAACAAGTGAGCCTACTTTGATAGGTCTTCATCTAATGAATGAACTCCTGGTAAAAAAAACTTGTTTTCGGAAATTGCCAGAACGTAATTTGACATTGAAGTTTTGTCGTAAAAGAATGTGCCTGAGACGCTGTAGCGGCTCACCGGCACAGCGGCTCCAACCACAAGCCAATGGGAGCAGCTTGCCAGAGATAAGGAGTTTAGGAACGTAACTCACAGCTGTCTTGCTCACGGCAATTTAAGTATTTTATTCTTGCAACATGTAACGCGTAACACTGTCACTCAAACTCGATTGTTCGGGATGGTTTTTTAAGTGACTCAAACATCAGTTTGGCTCAAACAGGTAGCATGTTTTGGACTGTCTAGTCTCCTAGATACTTGTCTCTTAGATATGGGATTCAGGAGGCTTCCTGGTACAAATCAAATGTTCTGTCTCAAAGAGGGGTTTCTTTTATTTCTATGTATACGCAGTAGGACGCAGATAACACAAATACGGAAAATTCGAAATCACGGATAGCTCGTAGTAGTCGTACAATTTGCCTTTCTCCGACTGATGTCTCTTTAATTAATTTTTCCGCTATCAGTTTACCTCAATTATGGATGATGTGTGGAACACATTTGTCGATCCTCGACGTGCTTGTGTTTTCTGTGTCTGACTGCACTTTGGATGTGCCGGGGAATGTCGTGAAATGTTTTATTTAAATGTAGGAACTTAAAAAGAAAAGTATTCCTGTATTGTTTTGTATACTTTTACTTATTCTCTTTTTTTTTTAAATTGTGTCACGACGTGGTGGAATCAGGCGCTCGTCAATTTTTGGGCATGTGGAGTTATTGGTATCATCTTAAAGCTTGTTCAGTTGTCTTGCTATCGGTGAAAAAAAGGCCGATCTATCTGGAATGGAAGTCGAGATATTTGAGATTGAAATAGATGATGCTTGAGGCCGCCTGGTTTCAAAGGTAGAATTAACAAGAAAATGTCCACCAATATTTGGTTATTTCCATATCTTGATAGTCTGTAGAAACTGAAAACTTACAGTTGTTGTGCTTTTAATGGTTTTTCAGTAAAACCCACCTGGAAATGTGTTCTTAATTGGACATGTATGGCTCTTTTCGTCTATGCAGACGGTCAATTTAGCTTAAGATGATCTCAAGGTTGTTAATTGGACAACAGTGGTGTTATACCGAAAAACAAAGATTCGATAAAAATTGCCAAATGCCAGTTTCTTCAATTTTTTTATTTTTTTTGAGGAGCGCCTGATTCCACCATGCTGCCGCACAATTGTTTTGTTTTGTGTTCAGATTTGGATATATTTGTGTCGTTGACCGGTACAGCAGTATTTCTGTAACCCTTTCCACGCATAATATTTTTATTTTTATCACTTGTACGGTCCACTGTTGGCCTGGTGTGTACGTGAAGTGTGCAACATGCGGGCTGCCGGTACAAAGAGTTAATCAGATGAGTCTGTGAGTACGTAATGATAGCTCAGCGACTGCTTCATGGGTGGTTGGCGGGTGCTGTGGTGTGGTGTGGTTTGCTCCTTCACTCCTATCAAACACCTATCATCCTTATAAATCTTTCCTCCTCCTTTTTTTTCTGTGTTTGTCACTCTCTTGTAACACCTCTGATCTTCGGCACTTATATGACCTTATTGTGTTGCGAGTGCCGGAAAACCTTTACAAAAACTAAGAGCTTGTTCGACTACATTTAATTGTTCAGGCTAGCTTTGAGTCACAAAAAAATTGAGATGATTCTTCCCCGCATATAAAAGTGGGCCTGTTGTTCTTTCATGATGCTTTAAGTGTGAGTGAAGTTTGGTGAAATGCGTACCGTACATTCCTGTGAAGAAATAAGGCGAGCTAAAGAGTGAGAAGAAACTTTTGACGATGATGATGATGATGATGATGATAATGATTGTGTACAGCATGTGTGATGTATGTAAACTTTTTCTTTCAATAATGCAAAACTTTCTATAATAAATATAATGTTTGGTTTTACGCTACATGGCATTAGACAGAAGGGCCAGCGTCCAGCTGTTGTTGCATTGATAACAACAACAACCACAACAACAACAACCACAACAACAACAACAACCACAACAACGACAACAACAACAGCAACAACAACAACCACAACAACGACAACAGCAACAACAACAACAACAACGACGACAACAACAACAACAACCACCACAACAACAACAACCACAACAACAACAGCAACAGCAACAACGTTTGATTTTTGTTTGCATAATGTCTGGACTGATAACTGGGTATGATTTTAAATTTTCTTTGTCGGACCAGTGTAGGTTTTGTTTGACCAAATACTGTATGTATGTATGTGTGTGTGCGTGCGTGATTGCGTGCGTGCGTGCATGTGTGTGTGTGACTTAAAATGGGTTTCTTTTGTCTGTGAATAAGATGCTTAAAAACTAGTTGAAACTCTTTCCAAACCAATGTCTCGGATTCACCTGTACTTTGCCTTTAGTTTGTGTTTGTTTCAACTCTGTATCACGAGGGGGTACACCCACTATGTCGGCTCCCTCTTTTGGTACAAAATAGAAAAATGACATAAATACGTCACTAAACTGGTCATTAAATCTAAACTACTGAACCTTTTTTAGTAGTTGTTCGTCTAATCAATGAACTCGGGGGTAAAGAGACCTGTTTTTGACAATGACTGAAATATGGGTGAAATGTGGGGATATTTGGTCCAGACATAAAAGTGACATAGCCCTTATCTGCTGCCCCCTTAAAGATTTCATTACTTTAGAATGACAAAGTTCTATCTGACATTTTTGACCGTTCTGAGCTACAAAGACCATGAGGTCAGAAACCAAAAGCTTTATCTGCTGTATCAAAATCTTAAGATTATTGGGAATCATTATCAAGATATTCAAAGAATTGGCATGTTGTGCGGCTCAAAATTTTGAACGTCAAATTTGCAAAAAAAATTTGACCGTCAAATTTGAAAAAAAAATTGTGAACGTCAAATTTGAAACAAAATTTTGAACGTCAAATTTGAAAAAAAAACTTTGAACGTCAAATTTCTCAAAACTTGGTACTGAGCAGATAGATAAAAACTTTGTAATTCTAGGGTAGCAATACGTCCCACTCTTTTGTCAGTCCCTGACGTCAGGGAAATCGTAAGAATGTCTTGCGATTCATTAAACGCAATGAGCTGGCGGATCAGCTCAGTTTTCCTTGCCACTACAGCCAGCTGTATTAAAAATATTATCGATTCGACTATATGCCGATATAAATACTCAATATTTTCCAGTGAAGACTTTCGGAATAGTATTCCTATTTTTTATTCGAAAGTATTCTTTTTTTTTTTTTTTTATTCCTTTTCAATTTCCTTTTTTGTCTTTTAATGTTATATGTGTAGCGTCGTTGTGAAATCAGGTGGTCGTCATAGTCATATATAAGGAAATCAGAAATCAACATTATTTTAGCAATTATTATCAATATTATTTTTTTAATCTTAGGCTTAACACCTTTTAAGGTTATTCAAAACTATATTCTTTCGTGAATTTTGCTGAAAAATGTTAATCAACAAACCATAAAAAAAAACCAATGTAAATTTGCAGTTTTCAAGGACACTACAGCTTTGGCAGTCTGCAAACATTGGCGACCATTTTCTCGCTTATTTCACCACTGGCACCAGACTACCCCTTCCTCTTTCAATTTCAATCGCAACTATCGCGACTTTTATTCAAGAATGATGAGTATATTTTCATCTAAAGCAAGGCTAGTTAACTTGCATTAATAAGACGATACCACTAACTCAATATGCCCCGAAATTGACGAGCGCCTGATTCCACCGCATTGTGACAATTATTCTTATGTGTGAATGTTTCCACTGTTCTGTGTAATGTTTTAAGCAGCAAGATCAGAGCTTTTAATCAAGAAAAAATCAGAGAAATGTTCTCCCGCAC